AGGGGATTGCTCTATTTGAGGTAGAGAAATCTTCAATTGAGGTGGAACCATATTGAGATCCTTGTGTCCACCTTTGACTACTGCCAAAGTGGAACCTGTTCCATGTGTGGCGTGCAATTTTTTGGCTTTGGCTATTACTAAGACGGAACCTGTTCCGTTTGGGCAATGAATAATAGGGAAGCTGCGAAAAATAGTTTCCAAATCAATTTTGGAAGGCAGAAGACTTGGGGAAAAAATTGAAGATTTGGAGAAGAAGTTGTACCTACTATTTTAGAGTTGAAGATTGATACAGTAACTCCTTGTAGGCAAGTTGGGAAATACTTGTCTAACAAAGAATTGGGTTTTGAATAGGAATGTCAATTTTTACCGCCCCGGGGCCCCAGCTCATCCCGCCCCTTTAATAACGGATATGAGAACACCTTTTATATCGTTGGGGCGGGTATGAATACAAATTTTGTACCCGTTACGGGTCACGGGGCGGGTAAGGGTTCAGTATACATATCCGTCGGGGCCCCGCCCCGCCCCGCCCCGCTCCGCTCCGCCCCGCTAAGCATATAACTATATATATATATATATATTATTAATAACTTATTTGGGATGTAAACTTGGTATTAAATTTACTTTTGTTTTGGTTATGGTGGAAGTTGGAGCTTAAAACTTCTTGTGATTTGGTTGTATTAAATCCTTATTTTTGTTAATTATGTTATCTGAATTATGTTATGTGCATGGTTGTTGTTTTTTTTTTTTTTTTTTTTTTTGGGATTTATAATTTCATTTATGTTGTGCTATTCCCAGGCTTTCTACATTTAAATAGCAGTAGTTTCAGTCCCAAAAAGTGGGAGAAAAAAAATCATTAGCAGGGCGGGCACATGGCATAATATTTTCCAACGGGGCGGAGCTGGATATGAGAATGCAACCCGTCATGGGTTGCGGGGAGGACATGGACTTGACAAAAATTAAATGGGGCGCGACGGGATTTAGGGAAACCTGCTCTAAACCCGCTCTATTGCCATCCCTAGTTTTGAAGACTATAAATAGAGATGTGAATGAGAGGTTAAGAGAGAGAGGAAAAGATCAATGTAAAGGGTTTAAGGGTGAGTGTTATGAGGAGAGATGAGAGTATATGTAATTCTCGAGTGTATATACAAGGGCGGATCTAGGAATTGACAATGAGGTGGGCTAAAATTAAACATAAATTTAATAACACAATTTCTTCAGCAATTTTATTTTTATTTTTATTTTTATTTATTTATTTATTTTCATAACATAATCTAGATAAATATTTGAATTCAAAGATTACAAAATATCTATCTAAATTGTGTTTGACGAGTCTTTAAAGACTCGAATTTGTCAATAATAGATATGAGCTCAAAATATCTATCTAAGTCATGTATTAGTGCCTGTTTGGATTAAGCCTTTATTTTAGTATTGTGGTTTAACTTACTTGGGTTTGTTTGGGTGGACTAATACAAATAATAATAATAATAATAATAATTTTTTTGGCTAGGCTAAATTACCCATAGTAATAAAAAAAAAAAAAAAAAAAAATTTTGGGGGGGGGCTGGAGCCCAGCCCAGCCCTCCCTTGGATCCACCATTGTGTGTATACATGAGTGAGTGTGGTTTTGACATATGGTTGTATATTTTCTTCTTTAATTCATAATAGGGGAAATCTTTCTTTCCATGACGTAGTCCTAGAGTTGAGTGAATCATGTAAAATATTGTGGTATGTGTATCTGTATATGATTGTTGTCTCCATATATGCTTGTGTTGATGTTGATATTGATGTTGATATGATGATACTTTCGTTATGTGTGATGAATGAGGAATTTAACTCTAAATAACAGTCTCGTTAAATGAGTTAGAGGGTGTTAATTCCAAAGCCTTAATACCTCCATGACAACTTAAGAAACGCCCTTTGCTTCTCAATTAATGTCCTCTTATTTTATATACACACACTAATTCGCTACTCTTTTCTTATTTTTATTTAAACGTCAACGAAATAAAAACTACAGCCATGGTATTGGGCCAGTTTAAGACTGACTATATTGGGGCTCGTGGGTCTTTGTGTAGGAGTACTAAAGGCCCTTCATAAACACTACAATCATTAAAAAAAACAAAGAGTATGTTCGAATTGAAGAACTTGGAAGAAAATGAAGAATAAAATATATGTTTATTTCATGTTTGATCTCAAAATAAGGAACCAAAGAAAAAGGAGAGGAAGGAGAAAGAGGGGTTTTTTCAACTTCTTAAATAAAATGGTAATTTTGCCTTTTCTCATTGAAAAAATAGAGTAAAAGATGTTAGTAATTATTAATTTTGTCCATGTTCTTTACGAAAAATTAATTTATGTTTTATCACTTTAACTTAGGAAAAGATTCTTTTTCTTTTCTTTATTTTTTATTTACCAAACAAGATGATAGTACTAATGTTTCCCCCTCATTTCCTTCATATTTTTAAAACAATAAAATGAATCAATACTATCACTACTTTTTTTTTTTTTTTTTTTTTTTCTCTCTCCTGCTAATATTATCATTTCCTTTCACTCATTTGTTTTTTTGGTCATAAGAAGCACCCTACAAGTCACATGCATCATATAAAAATATCACTATGAAATTACTATAAATGTGAGATCAAGTGAAAATAAATATCATGTGAACTTTTAAGGCATGTGAAGAATTGAAAGCTTGAAAGTATGATGCTTGACCAACTTGATTAAACACACCGCATGTGGTGGTCATTGACAAAAGAGAGTAAACAACACTACTACTCTAATGTGACTTGGCAATCATGAAGATGCAGCAATACCTTACAACAATGGATTTTATCCATCATTTTCTACTGTGGGCCCATACATAATAATTTCAAGGAGAGGTAAAGCCCAAAATGATAATAGGTCCAAATGAATGGATTGGGGAGGTGTATGTGTTAATTTAATTTTTTTATTGTTTTTTTGGGTGAAAGTAGAGGACAGCTATTTGAGGCCATGCAATGGAACTTTTTCACTTTCAAAGTGTAGTTCACAAGTGATAACAGTAGATTTTAATTAGGGTTTATGCTTAGCAAAGGTATTGTGAAGTTTAATACAACAAAAGTACTTCTGGGTTGAGATGGATTGGGCCAGCTTAAGCAAGCTGAAATTGATATATACTTATTGTTGCACAACATATGTATTTAGTTTGGGCTGAACCCATTGAGCCACATGGCCTCCTGGCTTTAGCTTGAACCAAGGTCCCGGTTTTAACAGCCCAATCATGGACTAATCGAATCATAATTCATAAGTTCACAATGTCCTAAATTTCATTTGGGCCTATTACACCATGGGCTTGCCCGTTTAAATATACAGCTTATTCAACAAGTCTTTAACCGAATTATTGGATTAAGTTCCACTCACACAGACTGATTGATGATACATAATAAAAAGGAAAAAGAAAAAGATTTAACTTTTTAATTGAAAATAATTAGATTGACCAAATTGACCAAATTGACCAACAAGTAAACTCATTTACTCGATCATACAAATTGGACTACAAGTTGTTACAGTTTGGATTGATTTGAAGAGATATAGATGAAGGGGAAGGGAAAATATATTTGGTTGATAGAACACATACTATTACCGGTCGTGATGCAGCAAGAAAGAAAATTAATTACAATAATTAATGACATTATTTTGAAATATTTTATTACTTTGATGATATGGCAAAATATAGATTATAAATGGAATGAAAATTGTCGATTATTTGGTAAATTTTGGTTAAAAAAGAAAAAAGAAAAAGTTATTTGATAAATTTAAGCAGAAGACAAAATGAAAATGAAACCCTTTGTAGAATTGGAAATGAATTCAATACATCCCAGTCATTTGTATAAAGTGTCTTAATTTAAATATATCATTCTGCGCTATCATATTGATTGGTGAACTTATGACAAAAGAATAGGTACTCCATGAATCAGAGCTAACTCTACTTTTAATGGTATGAATTACAAACTAATTCATACGCTATTTATGCGCATACCTGGTTATTAAGATTCAATACAATCAACTGTTATAATTTACTTTCAAAAACACTCCTATAAAATATTTACATCGTCATATATTATCAATTTCTCCAGAATGCATGTTCTATTTTTTAAACGCTAACTTTATAGAATCATCTAATTAATTCTTTATAATTCTCTCTACACGGCTCTGAAGCTCTATAGACTGTTAATAATTGAATACTACCTTTCTAGAAACAAAACCCCTTAAACTCGTCTTTGGTATAAATTAGTTTAGTATAGCTCAGAATAACATATTAACATTTTTTAACTTACCCAAAAAAATAACATATTAACATTAAGAAGAAAAGAAAAACAAGAACATATCAACCAAAGCTGCCTAGCTCATGAACAGATAATACACGGGTTTTAATCAGCCTAACAACCATAAACCAACCATTTGGAGTCGGTCATATTTATAAATCTTGTTTTGTTATTGTACTCTATTTTGGGACTGTAACATTTATAAAATCAATGGTATATCAGGATTAATTCATGTTGATAATTGATAGGGGTATAGCAAAGGTTTTATGTGACTTGACTCTTAAAACACAATATACATGAAGTTAACATACAAAAACACACATACAAAAACATGCATGATTGAATAAACCTAGTTTCAATTCAATTCAATTCTAGGTGCACGCACACATTACACATACTCCTAAATCAATAGAATTATACACAAGATCGAGGTTGGAAAATAAGAAATGAGCCTTGATCATTTGTATTTATACGAGTTTAAGTATGGATCAAATGTACAGCAACTTGAACAGAGTTTTACTCCAATAAGAAGGAAAATAATCCAATCTCAAAAAAAATTAAATTCATTTATTTTATCAACCTAAAGAAAAAAAAAAACAGATTATATTATAATGAAGTTCAACATTAGTACTTTAAGCTGATGAAATACATATTTTTTTGACAAAATTACAAAGAAATTCTCTACTTTAAAAATACAAGACAACAAACCACAGGACTTGGTGATTTTTGTATTTTTTAAAGTAAAATTTCTTTATAAATTCTCTCTATTTTTATTCCCCTTCTGGTACATACATACGACTATGTAATACTATTTAAGACGTACTCTACGCCTACTCTATATCTCGTTCACACAAATCGCATCAGAGTAGAAGCTTTGTTGAACTTCAAGTGCTAGTTCCTCCAAACTTAGCCTGCACTCCAGTCCTATCTGTATCATATAGCATGTAGTCATCAAAAATAGAAAGAAAGAAAGAGAGTATATTATCATTATAACTACATAGTAAAGAAAATTCATGACACCATCAGTGTGTTATATATATATATATATCAGTGTGTTATATATATATATATATATATAATCAGTGTTACTTAAGCTCTCATCGTACCCGGGTGCCAGCCGTTTAATTCCTGTGTGTAATACACACAGAATACGTGGTGTACCATCTAGTGGTGAGTTTTATAGAACACAATAATCAATTAGATGACGGTATAATTAGGAATCCTTTGAATGTCTATGCACGGGGATACAAAATGTATGTGGCATGCACTTTTTTTTTTAAAATTTATTTATGGATATTTGTGTGTTGTGTTCCTGTTGAATATAACACTCTGCCAACCATGTGGTGCACTTAAAGGTGAACCTAAATCTTACAGTACAATTCTGAATAAATTTAGTGTGTGAAAATGATATCACATGAACCTTCACTTTTATTGTTTCTAAAATGATCCCACCATAATTGTCACTTATATGTTGGCTATATTTTATCCGATTTGAAGCCCAATCAAAGAATATTAATAAGCCTGTGTAAACCAATTCATATGATTCACTCTCCTTCTACACACACAGATCTATATAAGCCTAGTGCTCCAGATATATAGAGGATTGGTAATCATATGATCGTGTATCTATTTCTTAACAATTTTATGTGTGTGTGTGTATATATATATCAGTCAATCCCCTTATCCTCTCTCTCTCTCTCTCTCTCTCTCTATCTCTATTTATATGTATGTATGCATCTAATAATTAAGCCCTAGAAGAATTAGTAAAAATGGGTTGAGGATCAGCGTTGGCGCAACAGTAAGGTTACTGCTTGCTAAAAGCGTCTCCACATGAGATGCACTAGATTTGCCCTTTGCCCTTTTAAGAAATACTACAGTATTTAGCGATTGGTGTATATATGATATACGTACCTTGATGACAAAGGAGTAAAGAACTGTGTCTTCCAGGGTACTGATGTTCAATTGAAGGATCTCAAAAGAAAGTTTCTCCAGCACATGTATTATCTTCACAATTTGACCTGGGATTCGCCTCGAAATTGTTCTCAAGATGACATTTGAGCCCGAAAGCTTTGCTTCCACATCTGCAACCGGAGAGTTGCAGCATGCTCCGAGTTCCTTAACACTACCAATTTCCGTTCCAAAAGGGCTATCAGGTTGAGGAGGAGGAACATGAGTAGTTAGCTTCAATGGCCTCGGACTCGGACTTAAACTAGTAGGGCTAGGGCTTAGACTCTTCCTTCTTTTCTTGGACTCCAAAGATTGAATCACTTGGTGCAACTCCTTGATGAATTCTATTACACCCCCTATAATAGATGCTTGGTCTCCCTTCATATATATCATAGAAAAAAGTACATAAGTTAATATGCATGTGTCTAGCTTGATGTCTCTATATACATACATGCACATACTATATGTGTGTGTGTGTGTGTGTGTGTGTGAGAGAGAGAGAGAGAGAGAAGATATATATATACCCTTTTGATGTAGAAACATGGAGTTAAGGAGCGCAAAACTTTGAGATGTTCATTCATCTGTCTTCTCCTGTTCCTCTCCACGGCTATGTGAGACATGTTGTTTAGGGTTGAGTACAGAGAGAGAGAGAGAGAGAGAGAGAGCGCTATATATGCAATTCCTTGGTCCTTTTGAAAGGACACGCAAGTGGTTTCTATTTATAAGTAGTCATTGTGAGTAAAAACCCTACAACCAACCCTACACGTATTGCGATGATCTTCATAGGTCTAGGTTCTCTCTTCTTAAATGCTATATGTTGCAGTCTCGTGAGGCTACTAGTTTTATTAGTATAGTCCTTTCTCTCTTGTGTGGATGGATAGTAGATATAGATATAATAACATATATTACATGTTCTCACGTTTATTATCTTGTAACAATTACGTGCCCGCGTGATTATAAAGAAGAGAGGGTAAATTCTCATGCCATGCAGATTTACCTGCTGTACTGCTACTACTTGCTCTCCTTCATGCATGCCATGCTCACCTCTTCATCGCTCATTTCTGCTACTTTCTGTATGTACCTCCCATTTTTCAACAAGTCTGATGATCAATCCAATTATTTTCTACCTTTTTCTTTTTTTTTTTTTTTTTTTTTTTTTCTTTTTTTTTTTTTTTTTTTCAACTTTTTTGTGTGTGTGTGTGTGTCATGATCTATAAATAAACCTAGTGGAGAAAAATTAATGATAGCGCGTGCATGGCTGAACAAATGAGCCTGAACGGTACCTTAAATGGTTAGCTAGCTCAATGGTCTCATTGTCATTTCCTTAATAAGAGCTAAATAAGAATGGTGATCTTTTCTGCAACAACCATTACGGTAGTAGTGTGTTGATACAAGTCAGATTTTTATATGTGAGTTGGTGAAGTGTGAGAAGGTACACGAATTCAGAATAACACTCATCAGTGTCATGTGGCCGGACAAAGTAACTTGTGCCCCTTATCAATGATCCAAACTCATATAATAAGTGCTCTTATGGTGTGTTTAGAGCATAAAAATTCAATACAAACTCGAAATAATATGATTCATAATTCCATTTCTAAAATATAATTTTTCAATGGATCGAATTTTCATCCCATAATTCAGTATGAATTGAAGATTTAATCCGATAACCTATTAACGATCCGAATTTAACAATTCGAATATAAATTATTATCAATCCAATACATTATATATTAAATATATATTATATAATATTATAATATATAATATTTATATAGTATCAAAATGTTTTTATAATTTTGTTCTCTTCATTAATTGTGTTTCTTTAACAAATGGTAAAAGAACTAATTTTCTTCTCCTCTTTCTTCCGTATTTTATTTGCCTCCTGTTTTGTCTCTCCTTTATAATCTAATTATTGTTTTCACTTCTTTTTTATCTTTATTTTTTTTACAAAAAGCAAAAAAAAAAAAAAAAAATAAAACCATTAACCAACCGAATTATCGGATCAAATATTCAATTAAAACAAATTCAAATCTAAAGACATTCATAAATTATTTATCGAGTTATTGAATTAAATTAAATTGCATAATAGTCTTGTCAGATTAGGATGGAATCAGCCCTCATGCGGTTCGGTCCGGCCATGATTTTAAAATAATGGAACCTCAAATTTTTGGTTTAGTCCCAGATTAGGGTCCTACAGGACGGGACCGACCCAGATTGAACTGTTATAATTGGTATACAAATATATGTTATATTATATATATATATATACACACTTTGGAAGGGATTTCGGTACAACTATCAAACGGGAGTCAACATTCATCATTATCGGATATTTTTTTATTTGCTTTTACTTCTCCCAATGTTTTGATTTTTGGGTGCGTGCCAACATTCCTCCACTATCTCATTGTTTTTCTTTGCTCACGCCGTCTCATTCACTTCTTAGTTCTCATCGCTGCGGAATTCAGTTATTGATCAATCTTTCTCAAGCAACTTTCGAAATTCAGTCATCGTCGCTGATCTTTTATCGCTGCCATCGGTGACATTCTCTTTCTCACACTTTCTACCCTTCTCTCTCACTTCCAGTTCACATATCTCTAAATCTTACGGTGTGTTTGCACCTCAAGCACAACCAACAAAGATAATGAATCAAGTTTCTTAATTTTCAACCACGGATTTGTCATCCATTTAAGTTTTAGCAAAATTCAAACTTATTTTAATTTCTAAGGTTTAGATTTTGGGTCTATTTCACCCAGTACTTTACCCTCTCTTTTTCTTTCTCTATTTTAGTTTTGAATTCGGGAATGTGAATGTTTTTATTGATATTTTTGTTGTATATACAATTTGAGGGGAAAAAAAAAAAAAGGAAATAAAATTCAACTAGAACTGTGGAACCAAATCGAACCGAACCAAACCATTTTTTCACTGTTTGGGCTGGTTTGGTTCTATAGCTCAAATGGTCTGATTCGGTTTCAAATTTTCTGGAACCGTAGGGAATGGTTTGGTTCCAAAAATTCTCAAAACCGGACCGTGTGCACCCCTAAGTTCGAAGTCCATCTATTTTCTGGCCGTGAACTGAAAGACAATATTAAGGTGTGACGGTGTTACCAGAGTGGTAAAAGGGCCAAGCCAAAGTGCTCCCCACCTTATTGATCCTAGGTTCAATTTTCCCCTCCTCAATAAATAAATTAATTAATTATTTAAAAAAAAAAAACTGAAATACTATTAATAACAATGCTTGTTGACCGAAACCAGCAGTCAAAATGGGAAACATACTGACAAATCCTTCAGTCAGTGTGCCATTATTCTATATGTGGCCCAATATATAGCAACTACATTAATTAACGAAAAAGGCTTGAGACCGGCCCAATTTTGTGCCCTGGTGGTGGGGCAGGCTGGACTTCAGTCAGTGTGCCATTATTCTATATGTGGCCCAATATAAAGCAACTAAATTAATTAACGAAAAAGGCTTGAGACCGGCCCAATTTGTGCCCTGGTGGTGGGGCAGGCTGTAAATTATTTGTGCCGTCAATAAAACGATATTATGAACATTATTCCGAGTGTAAGATAATGAGATGTTTTTGGTAGTGGAACAATCGAATGGTTTTGATTCGCATTTGGCTGCGTTCTGTTTCATTAGTTGATTTAGCTAGAGAAAGGAAAAGGAAAAGAAAAGGAAAAGGAAAAGGAAAAAGTGGAACAATTTCTTTCTTATTTCTTGTTTTGTTATATAGAATTAGAAAAATAAAAATTAATTTCTAAAAAAAGGTGTTTACGCATGTTCCATGATTGACCAAACATAAGGCTAGGGTGATTCCCACAACTATTTCTGTCATCACCATTTTTCTGCCTCCTCCAAAAAAAAAAATGATTCCAAAGCAGCATATGCTTTCATGAAACACAACAAACAAAAAAAAAAAAAGCTTCGCAACACAGTCCATTGCCTTTTACTTTGATTGTCAAACATACTACTATTCATGCAGGAGTTTAGAGTCAAATTGAGCGGACAGCTAAAATTACTTGAATAAGAAGAGATCAATTTTAAGCTTCACTTATTGGAAGAAAAGAAAATAGAAGAAACAAGCTTGATCAGAAATATCCATATATGTTTTTAATTTGCTTTTCGTTAGCTTTCACCAAAGTAGTACACAAACCAATCGCATATTGCTAGAAAGTGCTGAACTTCATGTGTCCTTCATGTTTTGATCCCTGCAAGCTCGTCAAACAGAAGAAGTTGAAAACTATTTGTAATCAGTGGAAAGAACAAGGAAATATGAAAAGAGCAGAATCCCGCAATTAATTTACTAGGGCATCAAAATACAGTGATGTTTGTTTTCATTTCAAAAGTCGTTACATTGAAGAAGAACACGACCATTTTAAACACAAAACAATTTTCAGCTACAGGTACATTAATGTCTCCATTCAATTCATCAAAATAAACTATGTTATCAGGATTATTTACCTTGAAGAGCTTTCTCAAAGTTCTGTAACTGTAAAACAAAACCAGAATTAGGAGATGCCAGTGGTCGTCTACTTTTCACATGTTCCAAAGCTCTAGACATGTTCATACCATGCTTTTTCATTAAATAAGCAACAACCATAGTCACACTGCAAGGTAGAACAAAAAAGTTTGTCAATGTTAGTCTGACTTGAAAAGTTCAAACAGATGCCAGAAACTCATATACCAAATACAATTATATTTGAAAAAAACGTTTCTAATGGGCTTTCAGACAATTAGGATACTAAACAAAACCAATAAAATGTAAAGATGTGCAGCGTCCAAACGACTCCGTTATCTTTAAGCCCCAAAATCTTACCTACTAGACCTTCCATATATAATATTAAAGCAATGAGATTTAGTTGTTTTTCCCCCTCTTTTTCCCTATTATATTTCCGAAATTCATAAGCACGAGTAATTTCAACTGAAGCAGATTAGAGAACAAAACAATGTTCATCAGAAAATGACTTATCCATATCCAGCCAAGCGTAAACTCACAAATATGCTAACAGAATCTAGTTTAGGATTTGACCAAACTCAGGTCAAACTCAAATCCGATCTATGTTGACTGGGAAAACTCAAATATTCCAGTATTCTTTTTTGATAAGTTCAAATGTTCCAGTATTCAGCTCAACTTGGTCCATTTAAACCACTAGGCAAAGTAATATAGTTCTGACAGATAAAAGTTAAAACTGTATCTGAGTTGAAAGTGTATTTTCAATCCCCACAAGATTGCAGGGGGTTTACAAAACCAATGTATATAATGTAGAATCTAAAACCATGTTTAACATTAATGGACCAACTCGTTCACATTGCATATCAAACATACAATAATATTTCTTCAATAGATATAAGAATATTACCCTGTAAAGTAAGTAAGCTAAATAGGACGTGAATTATCACCTTCTGGATTTCCCCACAAAGCAATGAACCAAGACACCACCACCCATTCTATTAGCCTCATCAATGAAATCATAACATTCATCAAAATACTGTGCTATATTTATGGATTCTCTGTCTGGGACTACCTCAAGTCACAAAGAACATGATAAGATTGTTAAGAACTTCATATTTAATGCACAATATGGCTTCAAAATTAGAATACCATAAACTTCAGATAAGCCACAAAAAAAAAAAAAAAAAAAAAAGAAAAAAAAAAATAAATTAAAAAAAAATAAAATATGAAGATGGACCTACAACTGTTTAAGAAAATCCAGGCGTATAACAGAGTAATTATGTAAATCTTAAAGGCCCAAGTAAAGACGACATAACGGCAGCGCGATACTGCAAATTTATTTTATTTTAAAGTAAAATACATAAACCTCCTTGAAGATAATAAACTAATGAAATGTCATCATGAATTAATTATTTTCTTCTTTTTAGTTATGCCATAATTTTTTTTTTTTTCCTGAAAGTTTTAGCAAACGCATACACCCACAACAATGCCCCTCGCAGGGCTTGAACTCTCAACCTCTCCTTTAAGGACTAGAGATCATATCAACAAAGTTAGTGGCCCGGTGGTATACTTACGTAGTGTGAATCTTAAGTAATTCAGTTCAAAAGAAACTCATTAATATATCAATATAAAAAAATCATACTTGCTACACAAATATCAAAATTTTCATACCATCAATAATTTTGTATATAAAATCATTTGGATGTGCAGGTGCCAATGAATTGGCCACAGTCAAAATGTGAGTGACATTCAAGCTTTTCAATACATTCTTGTTATTTGCAGCTCCAACGGAACCCAGGAAAAGACCCTAAGAATCGAAGAAAAATTAAAAAGAAAATAAGAATGATAATGAATTAAACACTAAAATGTCAGTTACAAGCTCCCAGTGTTCTTACCTCTTCAATTTGGCATGGAACATTGTCCTCTCTGTTGAATTTTGTAGCGCACACAGCTCGCCAAAGTGCTGCAATTTGATCCCTACGGGTTTCATCAATCCGGTCCATTTCTAGTCAGGCGGACAACCTTTTCTATTTCTTTCCTTTTCTCCTCTAGAACAGTCTCGAATAGTAAAAAATTTGAGGCTTTTTTTGCAGTATAAAAAAATTCCTCGAACATGAAATTTTTTCTATATCAATTTCACACCACGAGAACAACCATCCTGCACAAGTATCAAAATATAGGTTCCCAGAACATAAGATAAGCTTAGAGTCATAATATCATATACCCAAACATGAAGCACTGGTGTTATACATAATCCAATTTCAACCAACTTCAGGGATTTACTTAAGTAGTGATTTCAATAACTGAAATTGATATAGATGGCCAGTTAAAGGTTCTTTCCTCTTTGGAAATGGTTTTACAAGTAAATTCAGCTATGCATGGTTTTCACTAATGAAGTTATGAATGAATCTCGAATCCCGTGAACCCCAAACAAACATTGTCACCGTCTTGAAGAACTAACTTCGAATGCAATGCTGAAGGAAATCAATGGTTCCTTTGAATCAAATCACAATTAAGTGTCAGAAAATAGTGTCAAGCATAAAGCCCCAGAAACATGTCAAGACTTCTAATTCTCCTTCATATAGCCCAATTTTTTTGAATGTGGCCAATTTTGCCGTCTTATATCATCCATATATTTTTAAGGAGAAATGACATACTTTTGAATGTGTCCAAGTGTTACATGTGAATCAAATTTCACATCGGAGATTATGCAAACAGTGTGTCAAAACAATCTTTAACAAAACGACAGAGAGTAAGATACTTCAAAAATACAGTACAGGAGCAGATTAGAGGCATGGGAAACTCCAGTATAACAAAGAATTAGTAAGCAACTGCTTCCAATTCATTCAAAGTACCATCAAAGAACCCCTTTAAGTCGACTGTGGATGAAGCCTATAAAGAGAGTTGATTTTCTGAATGATTAGAGAAAAACTTGCCAAATTTATTAGAGTTTCTTTTTAGTTTCCACAAAAAATCATGAGCAATCTTCCAATGGTGGACATAGTCTCCCAAGAGGACCTTTGTAGAAAATAAAACACCTAAACATAGCCATCTATATGTGGTTTAGTGTGCTACATTTACATTTAGCATGCTCATTAGTTTTCCCTATTCACACCCTATCACTCTACGTTTAAATTAATATAAAAAAGAGAGAGAGAGAGAGAGAGAAAATTAGGTACTGCTTGGTTCAGTTTTCTAAAAACAATTCTTAAGAACTCAGAAAACAGACCTTATTTTAACATAGTTTTAGAAACTGTCAACCAAACAAATTTTTGTGCAATTTTTTATCTTTAGCTCCCAGAAATATAAAAATTGAACCAAACAAGCGCTAAACACATCGCTATTGGATGGTGAGACCAATTATAATCACAAATAGAAGAAACTACTCCAATTTAAAGGCAAAAGCATGTGGCATAACAAAAAAAATTTACCCATTTGGAGTAACGCAAAAGTCAATGTAAAGTGACCAGAGTGCAGAGAAAGAGCTAGAAAAAGCAAATAGAAATTTAAGAATATAATAGCTTTTGGAATGCCTCACACATACATAATTTAATGACACGAAAACATTCTTCATCCGAAGAAGCTAATAAGGGGGCATCTAGGGTGTAAGGTGGAAATCACACTTTCACATTTTGTTCTAGCCTTTTAGGTTCTCACACAACTTCCTCACATAATATGAGGATCCAATGTTTGCCAAAACAAAATAGAAATGTAATAATTCAATGGCCTCATCATTAGTGTTTTTAAATAAAATTACAAAATCAATGCAAAAGGGTGAAAGAAAAAAGAAACAAAAGACCAAAAAAAAAAAAAAAAAAAACGTAAATCAATTGAAATGCAAAATGGAGCAACAGATTATGGATAATACTGATACAAGAGAAAAGCACTACAGTGATTTACCAATATACTAATGAATTAAAAGTGCAACAGCGGTATATATCTCCAGATGGTATAAACCCTTTTCTGCAAATATAGGGTTGCTGGTTTGATTTTAGTCAAATCTATACATCTATACACACACTGACACACATATGCATATTAACTATGCAATATGCCGAAGTTAACATTCTTTACGAAAATGTAAAACCTCGGTAATTCAAGAAAACGAGTTCCAACAAACAAAACAGGATTACAGCAAATAAACCTAGAAAGATTTGAAGTAATATCAAATAGAAATTCCAATTGGAAGGTAAAAGTAAGCAGATGAGAATTAATACAGAAATAATATTTACTAAAAACAGATTTGAGATCAGATTACTTAGATTGTTGGGCAGAAACTGAATATTTCACAAAGTAAGAAGAAGACTCACCACAACAATCTCACAATATAACAAAGATTGTAGATGCATATATGAACGACGACTATAATAAGAGTCCTCCTTGTATCGCTAGTATTCGATAATATCTAGATATACGTGCGTTCTCGCATAAGGAGAAGCACAGATCGTTAAAAAACCACACCCAAAAAAATAAAGGGTTAAATGTAAAAAATCACAGTAATATAGGTTTTGTGGACAAATAATTTCTCCTCTTTAAAATATGTATCTTAGTATATAAATTTGTTTTAAAAAAAGGTCTAAATAAATTCCTCTGACACATTTTTTAACAAAAACATGACATAAAATAAATTTAAGGGTAAAGTGCAAATAACCCCTGTACTATTGACAAATTGCAACTAATCCCCCTAAACTATGAATTTGTTACATTTCAGTCCATTCCGGTGACCGACTTAACCGGAAAAATAAAAAGTCTGAATTGCCCTTATGATTATTCACTACTGTATAAGGTATATAAATATATATGCGTTTATATATATATATATATTTCTGGTTTTAAACTGAATTTATATATATGTGTTTATATATATATATATAACATTGGAGATTGAAGAGAGAGAGAAGCATCAGGCTGGAGATTGAATCATGAAGAAAATGAAGGAAAAAGATGGTGGCGGCGGCGGCGATTATGGTGACAAAAGAGGAGGTAAGTCAGCGATTATGGTGACGATGCGGAGTCGACGCGTCAAAACCCAAAATCATCCTCGTCGCCGCTGGGATCTCGCTGCCGTCATCTCCTGCGCCTGCCCCGCCACCGTCTCTTGCGGTGACAGCTGGAACGAGCTCGGATGGTGGAGAGGACCGGCGAGCAAGGTGGGCTGAACGGCAATGGGCTGGTTCGGCCATGGTTAACTCGCGGCGATGGGCTGGTTGCGGCTTAGCTGCATAGCGGCCGAGCTTCGCCTCATCCGCCAACCTCCCTGTTCCGATCGGGACGGTCACCCATTTCTCGTTTTCATCGACCCCAAATTACTCCGCAATCATTCTCCACAAGTGCTTCCACTTGAACAGATCGCCGTTGCTGCAATTGAAAGCTTCGTTGCTCGCATACGGATCCATCGCCGCCCATACTAGTGCTCCGCTATCAGACCGGAATCCGACGCCACCGAGTAGCAGTTCCATGCCGCTTTCGTTCCCGAGGGAGAACCAGAGATTGTGATTGAAGGGGGTGATGGCAGTGGGTTAGTGGGGGTTTGGTTTCACGGTGTGTGATGGGTTTGATGGAGAGAAGGTTGGGCTGTGGTTGGTGATGACGGGTGATGGTGGTGGCGGGATTGGGGTGGTGGTTGTGGGTTTGTGTACTGGTTCGATTGGGTTTGGTGGTGTGCCGTTGAGATGCCGATGGAGGTGGTAGTGATGGTGGTGGGTTTGATTTCGTTTAATGGTGTGTTTTGGCATGAGTTCATGAGGGTTTCGTGGTGGTTATGTTGGTGGTTGCGGACGGTGGTGGTGGTTATGTTGGTGGTTGCAGAAGGTGGTGGTGGTCGTAGACGACGGTGGTGGTGGTTATAGGATAATTTGGTATTTTCATATATAGAAGGGCATTATTGTCCAAAAAACTTAGTTTGTCTGTCGCGTGTGAATCACGCGCTCATTTTTGGACGGCCGGTCACCGGATGGGGTGATCTGCAACTTTTTTGTATAATTTGAAGGGTTTTTTGCATTTTTGATAGTTCAGGGGGTTAGTTGCAAATTTCCCCATAGTTCAGGGGGGTTATTTGCACTTTACCCTAAATTTAAAATCCCAATTTACCTTTATCTTCCTATTACACCCTTTTCTAAGGGACTCCCAGTAGCCACATCACTGCCACAACAATTGGTGGCGGCCGCAAGAATTCTGATCGGCAGCGATGCAGGACGGAACGGTGGGCAAAGACTGCGGTGCTCTGATTTTACTGGTGGTGGTAGAGGACTGAAACGGTTGACGGCGATGGTGGCGACTGTAAGAGTCACGGTTTCGGCGAAACAGTGGTATATGTATAGGTGTATACACCGGTATCCCAACGTGGGTCGGTGCTGGATTTCGGTGGTGGATGACGACCGGGAAGGAAGTGGGTCAGAGGCTCCGACGAGTTACAGAGAAAACTCGTTTTATCAATACCATGAACTCCAGTGTGGAGCTATGAGTTGAGCTACGGAGAAGACTAGTGTGAGTGATATTGAGGGCGACGCATGAACGTGATGCGCCCCTGCTGTTGGTGCGAGTAGATCTGACGCGCCTTTGGTATTGTTGCGTGGAGATCGTGTTGTCCATGCTGTAACTCCGACGGCAACCTGGGTCTCATTCTCCGACGGCAGCGACGAGATTGGTTCATGACGACGACAAATTAATGAATGAAGTAGTATCATAAATTGATCAAAAAAAAAAAAAAAAATCAATGGAATTAACCATATACTATATGTTATACAAATAAATAAAATTGACCACATGGCCCGGGTTTCAATCAAGGCACGTCGTCTTTGACCAACCACGATACGATTGCTGTAATAAATGCCACGCTGCAAACTACCTAGTAGTGGCAAGTAATTATTGGAGAATTTTTGGTGCCAACTTGATGGTGAAATGTGGGGGTATCAATTGGAACACAATCTACTCGAGTTTGATATAGCTTTATCGAAACTTGGGTTTAGCTCTTCGCTGCTGCTTCGGGATACAAGTTGTTCCCAGAACAGATTTTTTTAAATTTAAGGGTGAACGTGGAAGTTAAGTTCAAGATTAATGGCTCATTTTGTTTACAAGCATGCTGCCTATGATTCAGTTTTAGCCTTTCAAAATGTAACATGTACCAACCTATTACTACTAATAGCTTTGAATTTGATGTGATTTACTATGTAATGTATGTGATCCTTAATTTTCAAAGAATATTGTTACCACCAGTTGTTTGAAAATGCATTGGTCTTTTTTGTCTAATCTTTATTCCGGTACAGGGCGGAGCAGATTAGAAACATGGTGCCAACACCAGGATAACCATGAATTAGTAAACAACTGCTTAAAATGTATTCTTATCCATTCTACCCCGAAAAAAACAAAAAATAAATAAAAATCATCAAATAGACAATAGCCACAAAACTTGGCTTCCCTAAAGGGGAGGTTAGGCCGGGGTCGAGTCACCAAAAATCATGAGTAATCTTTTTTTTTTTTTTTTTTTGGAATTTTAAGCAAATATTATAAATATAAGAAATGTTTACATACGAAGGCCAATTGGCCAAGCAGCCCCTTTGGGGAGAACAAGCCCAATTTGGACCAATACACAGTGTAGCCCAGGCCCATCCTACTGCCTACCCATACATTGAAGCCAAAAACCCATACTGTTTAAGCCTAGAAACAAATAGCCATAATTAACGGTTGTTAATGCCCGTTAATGGTGGTTATTTGCCAAAGCACTCCGGTGACTCTAGGGCAATGATTCCGGCGACTGAGCCGGAGCTTTCTTCAATCTGGTGGACGCGGCGGAGGACGACAACATGAGGGGGATAGGTTCCATTCTGAAAGAATTCTTCTCGCTGTGGAACAATCTTGCAGAAAGCCAAGCTTTAGAATTGCAGTGATGGTGGAACAAATCCGAGCGAGGACGACCCTCTGAGAAGCTCTCTTCTTCGTGAAGATTCTTTCATTCCTTTCTTCCCAAATATGGTACACAGTGGAAGAGAAACATACCTTCCTAAGCAGGTTTGGGACCGATTTTGCTTTTCATCTTTCACTGATGTAAAAAATTAATTCCTCCCAATTTGTGATAGTTGTATAGAATTGACTTTTCTCCTTGATAAATCGCCAAATTGGAGAAGTGAAACAACATTTAAAGAATAGATGTTCATGTGATTCAAGCTGATTTTGATAAAGAGCACAAGCGTTGGTATGTTTTCTCATTGATCTGCTATCCAATGTAGGCAACCTTGATTGCACAGCCAGCCATAGGTTTAGCTTCATTCTAGGTATGATTGGTGAGGACCATACCAGATTGTGCCAATGGACTTTAGGATATTGCCCTTGAAGGAAGGAAGTTGTGTGACTTAGGCTGAACATACCTATTGAGGAAGCTGTCCATCTCTTCTTATCTCTCCTAGCTAGGAGTGGAGGTTGGAGTTGCAGCAATTCAGGGATGGAGGTTATGATGTCTGGTGGAAAAGACCAAGTTGAACCAACAATAAAGTTGTCCATTGTGGTTTCATGACTTAAGCCTGCTTGTGTGAGAATTGTTGTGGGAAATCTGGAACAAAGTGGTCCTCCTGGAGCCCAATTATCCAACCAAAAGGAAGTGTCTGTCCCATTGCCAATAGAGTGCTTTAAGAGAAGTCTAGCCGGATGTCTTAGTTGCAGCATCTTCCTCCAGCTCCAAGAGCAAGAGTGAGGAATATTGAGCTCCCATAGATTCCTACTCTTTATGAGATGAGTGTGACACCATTGAATCCAAAGTCTGCCATTAGTATCTGTTTGTAAATCCCAAATGAACCTCATAATTCCAGCCTTGTTTGCCAATTCCAAGTTTGGAATCCCCAACCCTCCAGCTTCTTTTGGTCTGCAAACCTTCCCCCATGACACTTTAGCTCCAGTTAATCTCATTTCAGGGCCAGACCAAAGAAATGATCTTAAAATCTTGTTAAGTTCATTGATCACTGCTTTAGGGAGGATGAAAATGCTTGACCAATATATTTGTGTTGAGACTAGGACAGCCTTGATGAGCTGTAATCTGCTTGCATAAGAAAGTGACCTAGAGGACCAATGTGATACCCTTTTAGTGATTTTCTCAATTAAGAGGCTGCAGTGGGATGACTTTAGGCAAGTGGAAATCAAAGGTACTCCTAAGTACTTGACTGGGAGAGAGCTTGCTTCAATTCCTAGCAATGAAATAATGTTGTTCTGAGTGAGAAGGTCCACCCCAGAAAAGAAAATTGTGCTTTTGGATGTATTAATGTCAAGACCAGACATTGTACTGAAGTAGTCCATTGCTGACTTGATCACTGACACTGATGTAATGTCTCCATGGCAAAAGAGAAGCAGGTCATCAGCATATGATAGGTGAGTAATCTTTAGTTTTCCACATCTCTAGTGGTATCTGAAAGCCTCAACCCTGCTTATAAAGATGTTAATGATAGAGGACAGTGCATTCATCACAATAACAAAAAGAAA